GGCAGGTGGATCTCTGTGAGTTCAAGACCAGCCTGGTCTACAAAGCGAGTTCCAGAACAACCAGGGCTCTTATATAAAGAAACCATGTCTCAAAAAAACAGAGAGAGAGAGAGAGAGAGAGAGAGAGAGACCTACAAAAAATTAAAGAAGTGCTTGTGTGCAAACTTGACACCCTGAATTCAATTCCAGAACTTATGCAAAAGTGAAAGGAAAGAATGGACAAAGAGAAGAAACTCCTATGGAACCCATGGCATAAATACCATGGAGGAGGAGGAAGAGGAAGAGGAGAAGAAAGAGAAGGAGAAGAAAGTATTAAGAACCAGGGAATTCAGGCTGGATGGATGCAGCACTGTGCAGAGTGAGACCGCTTTTAAAAATAGGATGGGTAGAGCACAGGGTGAAGGTCAGTCATCCCAGCGGTCCAGAGACGGAGGCTGGAGGATCATAAATTCAAGGCCTGCCTGGGCTACACACCTTGAAGCCCATAATAGCTAGATTTTTGGTTCCAGGAAAACACTGCACACAATTTCAAGGACCACAGAGACTCTGAGAAACCTACATGTGAATTGTGAATCAACAGTTAAACCCACAGAAACAGACATGGAGATATATACATACAGAAACATGCAGAATATATGTGTTGAGATTAGCAGAGATGGGCTACAAAGCCTTGGGGACACTCCAACCATCAAAGAGAAGCGTCTCTGACAAGACAGGAAGATCTAGGTAGGTGGGAAATCTGCACGCTGTGAAGACAAGAGATGGAAAGAGAGAGGGTGAGGCTGGCAGAGATCCCGCTACCTCTCCTTTGGGCCGTGAACAAATGTAAGCACTGTTGAAATCACTAAATTTCTTTTAAGACAGGTTACCATGAATCCCAGGCTGACCTCTTCTAACAGAGGGTGATGGCCTTGAACTTTTGTGCTCCTGCCTCTACTTCCAGGGTGGCAGTATTACAGGCATGAGCCACCAGGCCCACTTTATGCAGTGCTGAGGATTGAACCCAGGACTTTGTACATGCTAGGGAAGCTTTCTACAACCAAACTTAACTCTAGCCTTAACCAAAAGCACCTTAAGTTCATGAGAGCACGCCTTCATTTTCACGGGCATAAAGACACTGGGAGAGGGGGCAATGTGACTCTTTAAGTAGCACTTGTCTCTTCCTGGAGAAGGTCACTCAGGCTCACTTAGTAGTCAGAAACACTCTCTAGTGCTGCCTCCCTGCTTTTGCCTTGACTATTTTCTTTTCTTCCCCATTTTCAATAGTCCGGGCTGAGCTGGTAACAGGAATAAATACCAGAGTCGGCAAAGAAATGGTAACACAGACAGTGGAACAGCAGCCGGGGTAGCGACACCTCAACTCAACGGTCAGCAGATGAGGAAGCAGGCAGAGCAGGAAGAAGAGCAGTGGAGGCAGAGAGGGAAAGCAAAGAACAAAGACTGGACAAAGCTAAAAGGGCTTGAGAAGCCAGGAGAAAAACAGCAGACTCTGGGTTGCCAGCAGAGTTCCAGGAGCTATCTTAAGGGGCAACGACATGAGAATCTAGGCCTAAGCGGTTTTAAGCACCAAGAACCCTAAGTTGTGAAGCCTACATACTATGATGTAGGGTTAAGCCAGCCCCTTTAGGGGGCGGGTTTGCCTCGGGCGAATGCATAGGGATAAATCGGGCGCACAGGAGGAGGCCACTCCCTTTTTTCCTTTTTCCTGCCTCCTGTGAACCAGCTAAGCGGAAACTTCGGTACTTTAAGTTTGTTTAAACATTAAAACTGTATATATATTCTTTAATATCTGCCTTTGCATTTATTTACTGCCGATACATTTGGCACCCAACGTGGGGCTTTGAGGATACCCGCCCCAAAATTGGAGCCTCCCGAGAGAACGTTGAGCACCAAAGACACTCCACTGGGAGCTTGTCTTCTTGGCAGAACTGGCCTTTGGGTTAAGAAAAGCCTATACCTTAACTACTGACTAAGATATGAAACAGGATTGTCTTATCTTGCTAAGACAGGGTAGGATAATTCTAAGAAAGTTCCTTACATTTGATGTTAGGCCTTAGCCAAAGTTGGTTGACTCAACATTACAAATGAGACTTTGGATGATTGCCCAGGTAGTCAGTTGTCTCTGTCATTTGTTGCACATTTTGGATATCTCTCATTTGTTAAGTAATATTTATTCCCTTCTCAGATCTTTGATGGAGTTGAAGATTATTTAATTGTAGTTACTCTCTACATTAATATTTAGACTCCTTGAGATAGAATGTCTAGCAAAACTTTTGTTCTCAATATTGTTTGTCATACTTATCATTTGTTATTATTGTTTATAGTTAATTTGGTTTAGTTCTGTCTTATTTAGACAAAAGGGGGAGATGTAGGGTTAAGCCAGCCCCTTTAGGGGGCGGGTTTGCCTCGGGCGAATGCATAGGGATAAATCTGGCGCGCAGGAGGCCGCTCCCTTTTTTCCTTTTTCCTGCCTCCTGTGAAACGGCTAAGCAGAAACCTCGGTTCTGTAAGTTTGTTTAAACATTAAAACTGTATATATATTCTTTAATATCTGCCTTTGCATTTATTTACTGCTGATACACTATACCCTTGTGGGAATAAGGGTCTCAACACTTAAAGCTTACCCGAGGCTCTAACGTGAGAAGGTACTACCTGCTGCTGTGACCATTGCTGTGACCAAACAGAGAGAAATAAGGTTTCCAAAGACTAGCCCTTGAAGAGACTTGAGTTCTATTCCAGCAGAACAAAACGACCCTAGCCAGTTGATTAGTAATAGGAGGGAGACCGGTCAGGAAGTGGGCAGGATGGTAGCAGCTGGGCGAGCTCTGTGTCGTGTCTCCTGTGCCTCTCCCACTCTATGCTGCTGTTCCGAGTATTCTCCCAGAGCCGTGCTGATGCTGACTAGAAAGGCCTTTCAGTGGTGGGCAAGAAGCCCATGGTCCCCACCTTCTCTACCGGTCTAGATTCTACTTTTTTCAGGACGCACTGAGTTATGGGTCATTTCTCAAGCACATCCTTTTTTTTTAATCCCACATCTGTAAGATCCTCAAAAACAAGTTCCCATTTTTCCCTTCCCTCTAACTCTATCATCTGATCACTCAGATCAGCACTTAGCAAAAGACAACAGACATGGGGACACATGCTCCCCATAACTAGCTCCGTCCATGCATTGCTCTACCCTTGCTCTCTAAAACATCTAACGTAGTGAGGAGGTTTAGTGGTAACAGTTGGAGGCAGATACATCTCTGTGAGCTTGAAGCCCCAGACCAGCCATGACTACTTCAGCCAGACCCCAGCTTAAAAAGAAAAAATTACAGGCAGCTATCTGACAGGTCACGAGTCCCAGGAGGCAATTCTCTCACCTACAGAGAAGCCTATTAAAGAGGACAGTTGGGGGCAAAATCTAGAGACGAGAACTGTAGTCAGGAAGTGTATGCATAGCAAAGAAAATAAGCACAGAGTTTTTAAGTCTATTAGGAGTTTTAGGACCTCAGTTTTGTTAATAGACACGCCTTAGGAAATTACAAATCACTATACACCTCAAATTCACCAGGTCACTCCCAACTACTAGAACCACAAACACCAAATACCACCCCCTATACATACCATGTTCCCAGCATCACTGACCCACAGAATTTTGATCCAACAGTTAGGCCCTCCCCTGACTCATGTCTACAAAGCACTGTGATCTGACACGAAACATGAGATGATTTCTACAAGCCTAATAGAAGCCCCAAAAGGCTCAAACACTTCCACGCTGCTTCCAAGAGGCTCTATCTCACACCTTCCTAACAGGCAGGGCAAGAATGCAGGGACCTTGCCCTCTGGGTCCATCAGCCTGGCCTTCCCAGGATGGGTCACTGTTTATTCTCCTTATGAGCTCAAAGTACTAGACACTGAGCCGGCAATGAACAGGCCTGGTCCCAGAGTGCCCGCTGGCCCTCAAGCCTAGAAAGGCTTTAGGCAGGTGGAAATTGCCCATGATCTGGTTGGCGCCTGCAGGCCTGGATCAAGTTCAGATTGCTTCATTCACCTTCATTCAGACCACTGTGCCTAGCCAAATCACTCCACAGCACAGTGCAGACCTCTTTGTGGGAGGTTTAACTTCTATATGCTCCACCCCAAAAGTCCTCCTGCACCTGTAAGCCCTCTGAACTGCTATGATCCATCGCTTCAACTACTACCAGTACTATTGGGTCTAAGATCCTCTGAATGACGGAGCACAGTCAAAAAGGATGTTTACCAACTAAAACTATGACCTTGAGTCCCATTTTCCTTTCTGTGACACAAAACCATTAGTCTAATTCTGTCATTTCAGATCTCGTAACTAGTGACTAGTAAAAATCAACTAGTAAAATCAACTGTTGAGGTAGTTTTTCATCAAATAAATACAAACTGTTATGTGTCACTGTAATTTCCTGAGAAAGAACATTATTTTAAAAAGAAGAAAGGAAATTAGGGAATATTCAGAAGCCCCTCTCAAACACAGGCAGGGCCTTTGATCCCGGATCAGCTTTCCGACTCTGGACAAGGGTCCAGCGGAGTCCACCTTACCCTGATGTTGTGGAACATCCTGGGGATGTCCTAACGACAGTGAACCCAAGCATCAACTTCCAACGCAAACAAGTACAAACGCCAGAAGCCCACGTCAGGCCTGCTAAGCCTCTCTGCGGCCTCGGGAGAGACCTAGGACCCCGAGTCCCCTCCCTCAGCCTTCCCACTGCTCTGACCCAGGCTCCATCTCTCCGGCTCCCGGGCCCTAACCGGCCGCTGGCCTAAGCTGGTCCTACCGGCGACCCCGCGGGGAGACCCTGGCCCGGCCACGACCGCCCAAGGTCGGCGGGGGAGGCCGCGGGTCGCGGACAGGCACCTGACGGGACAGGGTCACCCGGGGTCTGGCCGAGGCTGAAGCAGAGGGGGCGCCGGGTCGCAGACACGCACGGCTCGGCCCGCCCCTCACTCCAGAGGCGCCCCCTGCGCAGCCGGAGCGCCTCACTTACCCGGGCGACGCCATGAGCGCAGCGGCCTGGGCGCTCCCGCCTCCTCCGCAGCTTGCGCGGCTGCCGTTGGGCGCCGGGGAGGGGCCTGCGGGCCGCCCCCGCCCGCTCCGCTAGGGCGTCGGGCGCCGTGGGCCGAACTCGGGGTGAGGGCAGGCCGGCGCCTGGAGCGAGGGAGAGGACGCGCAGGGCCCTGAGGACTTGAGACCGCAGATTCTAGCCCGGCCCGCTGCCCGGAGGCCGGAACTCACCTGCGGAGCCCGACCTGCCCCGGGGCCACTGACTGGCTGCCGAGCGGCGGGCGTCACCTCCAACCCCCGCGTTCTGCTGTTAGTTTCTGTAAGAAAAGCACTTTCTCTAGCTCTGGGGTCTAAAGGTCATTACTGTTATTATTAAGGAGAACGACGTCTTTCCTGCTACTAGTTCACAGTGGTGTTTTGGTGTACTGGTTGGCTTCCGAACTGGTTACCCCCTTTAAAAAAATGTATGGATATTAAGCATTACTTTGAAGTATAGAGTTTGGAACTTGTACAGTGGGATTTCCTAGCGTCACCTACAAGCTCTGAATACTTGGGCACGTAAAATTTTGAGCCTTGATTTCAGTCCCTGCCAAATTAGTTTCAAAAACTACTATCTTCTAAGAGAAAATACCTAGTAAAAAGCTTTGGACCATGCAATGAAAACCGTTGCTGGTGGCATTTTTGTGTTATAGCTTCAGTTTTTTTTTCAATAAAAAATTTTTCTAGCAATATATTTTGGTCATATTCTTTCCCCTCCCAGATCCTCCCCACCTTCCTAACTTCATGTTCTTTCTCTTTCTTATTTTTATTGAGACAGGTTCTCACGGTATAACACTGACCTTCCAAGAACTCGGTGTGGAGACCAGGATAGTCTTGAATTCACGGAGTTCTGTTTCCCTGCTTCTGCCTCCGGGCTGCTGAGATTAAAAGTGTGCACCACTATGTGGTGCAGGGCCCAACATTAATATTCTTTTCACCATTAAGAATATCAAACACTACAGAGATAAACCCTTCGTTCAGCTGTCAGAATATCTAGGCTGGAACTGGGCTCCACCAATTTACTAGTTAAAATTCCTTCTCCAGGGCTGGAGTCCCTCCTTCCCTTCTTTCATCCAAGGAGAGCCCATGCAGTGCTTCTGGGCCTTCTTCTTGTCCTCTTAGGAAAACAAAGCTAACAGTCACTGGCTGAGTTCAGAACACGTGTAAAGATCTACAAAGGAAAGCTGACAATGCTCCTTTTCCTAGGGATTCTTTTTTTTTAATACTTTATTGATATTTATTGAGCTCTACATTTTTCTCTGCTCCCCTCCCTTTCTCTCCCCTCCCCCCTTCAACCCTCTCCCAAGGTCCCCATGTTCCCAATTTACTCAGGAGATTTTGTCTTTTTCTACTTTCTACTTCCCATGTAGATTAGATCTATGTAAGTCTCTCTTAGTGTTCGCATTGTCTAAATTCTCTGGGATTGTGGTTTGTAGGCTGGCTTTCTTTGCTTTATGTTTAAAAACCATCTATGAATGAATGTATGTGATAATTGTCTTTCTGTGTCTGAGTTACCTCACTCAAAATAATGTTTTCTAGTTCCATCCATTTTCCTGCAAAATTCAAGATGTCATTATTTTTTCCTGCTGTGTAGTACTCCATTGTGTAAATGTATCACATTTTTCTTATCCATTCTTCAGTCTAGGGGTATTTAGGTTGTTTCCAGGTTCTGGCTATGACAAACAAAGCTGCTATGAACATAGCTGAGAATATGTCCTTGTGGCACGATTGAGCATCCTTTGGATATATACCCAAAAGTGGTGTTACTGGGTCTTGAGGAAGGTTGTTTCCTAATTTCCTGAGAAATCACCACACTGACATCCAAAGGGGTTGTACCAGCTTGCATTCCCACCAGCAATGCAGAAGTGTTCCCTTTTCTTCACAACTTCCCCAGCATAAATTGTCATCAGCGTTTTGATTTGGGCCATTCTTACAGGTATAAGATGGAATCTCAGAGTTGTTTTGATTTGCATTTCTCTGATGACTAAGGATGTTGAACATTTCCTTAAGTGTCTTTCAAGCCATTTTAGATTCCTCTGTTGAGAGTTCTCTGTTTAGGTCTGTACTCCATTTTTTTTATTGGATTATGTGATCTTTTAGTGTCCAATTTCTTGAGTTCTTTGTATATTTTGGAGATCAGACCTCTGTCTGATGTGGGGTTAGTGGAGATCTTTTCCCATTCTGTAGGCTGTCGTTTTGTCTCGTTGACCATGTCCTTTGCTTTACAGAAGCTTTTCAGTTTCAGGAGGTCCCATTTATTAATTATTTCTCTTAGTGTCTGTGCTGCTGGGGTTGTATTTAGGAAGTGGTTCCCTGTGCCGGTGTGTTCAAGTGTACTTCCCACTTTCTCTTCTATAAGGTTCAGTGTGGCTGGCTTTATGTTGAGGTCTTTGATCCACTTGGACTTGCGTTTTGTGCATGGTGATAGATATGGGTCTATTTTCATTCTTCTACATGTTGATATCCAGTTATACCAACACCATTTGTTAAATATGTTTCTTTTTTCCATTTGATATTTTTTGCTTCTTTATCAAAGATCAGGTGTTTGAAGATGTGTGGATTGATATCCGGGTCTATTCGGTTCCATTGGTCCTCCTGTCTTTTCTTATAACAGTACCAGGCTTTTTTCAGTACTGTAGCTCTGTAGTAGAGTTTGAAGTCAGAGATTGGATGCCACCAGAAGTTCTTTTATTGTACAGGATTGTTTTGGCTATCCTGGATTTTTTTACTTTTCCATATGGAGTATCATTTTTTCGAGGTCTTTGAAGAATTTTGCTGGGATTTTGATGGGCAGGTCTCTTAATGTCTGCATAATACTTGACCATGACCTTCTGGCTTTGATCGTCTCCAATGAGAAGTCAGATGTAATTCTGATAGGTCTACCTTTATATGTTACTTGGCCTTTTTCCTTTGCAGCTCTTAATATTCTTTCTTTACTCTGTATGTTTAGTGTTTTGATTATTATGTGGCAAGAGGACTTTTTTTTTTTGGATCCAGTCTATTTGGTGTTTTGTAAGCTTCTTGTATCTTCATAGGCATATCTTTCTTTAGGTAGGGAAAGTTTTCTTCTATGATTTTGTTAAATAAATTTTCTGTGCCTTTGAGTTTAACTTCTCCTTCTTCTATACCTATTATTCTAAGATTTTTGCCTTTTCATGGTATCCCATATTTCATGGATATTTTGGGTTAAGCTTTTGTTAGATTTAATGTTTTCTTTAACTGATGAGTCTATTTCCTCTACTGTATCTTCAGCACTTGAGATTCTCTCTTCTATTTCTTGTATTCTGCTGTTCATGCTTACATTTGTAGTTCCTGATGTTTTTCTCATGATTTGTGCTTTATTTTTTCTATCTCAGTTTTTAAGTCCTGGATAGTTTCTTTTATATGTTTGATTTCTTTTTCTTGGTTTTCTTTAAGTGATTTGATGATATCTTCCAATTTTTTGTTTGTCTTTTCCTTCATTTCTTTAAGGGGATTTCTCATTTCATCTTTAAGAATTTCAAACATTCTCCTGAAGTTATTTTTTTAGATCATTTTCTTCTGGTTCATCCATATTTGGTTGCTGTTGTAGGGCCTTTAGGTTTTACTGGTGTTGTGTTGCTCTTTGTGGTGTAGCATGTGATCTTACCTTTTCTGCTCATCTTTTCCTCTAACAGGAGTGGTTGAGGCTGTCTGAGATTCTGTTGATACAACATTTATTTATTATGTATGCTTGCATGCCAGAAGAGGGCACCAGATCTCATTATAGATGGCTATGAGCCACCATGTGGTTACTGGGAATTGAACTTAGGACCCCTGGAAAAACAGTCAGTGCTCTTAACCTCTGAGCCATCTCTCCTGTTGAACAATCTTCTAGGTGACAGTGAATCCAAAGCTCAGATGGTTGTTCCTCATGGTACAGTCAGTGTCACAGTTCTAGTTACCCCATTGGTTACTCCTGTTCCTGGAGATAGCTCAGCATTTCTGTGCTTTGCTCTGCTCCTTTGGAGTTTGCTGTCTCAGGCCTACTTTGGCCTAGGCTTCTGGCTTTGATCTGTTTCTGTAAACCCTGGTCTGGATTCCTTCCTGCAGAAGTCCCTGGGTTGGAGTTGGACCTGGTCTACTGCCTGTGGGGGTGGGTTTCCAGGCTCGGGTGTGCCCAAACCTGCAGAGGACCTGCTTGCTTCCTCAGAGGTCCCACACTCACACTCAGACCCGCAAGGGGTCCAGGTTCCTACCTATTCCCTTTGATGTCCCAGACCAATGCCCGAACCCACAGAAGTCCAGGCTCAGGCCTACTCTCTCTGAGGTCCCAGACTCACACCTGGCCCTGCCAAGATCTCTGGTTCCTGCCTATTCCCTCAGAATAGGTTCACTCACGCCCAGCCTGGCAGAGGTCCTGGCTCAGGCCTAGTTCCTGGGAGGTCCTAGACTCTTGCCCAGACCCAATGGGATATTGGTTTAGGTCTACTCCCTTGAAGGTCCCAGATTCACATCCAGACCCTCAGCAGTCTCTGGCTCACTGGCTCAGCAGTTAATCCCTTGTACCTGTTCCGGTGGAGATCGTTGACTCTGGATCTGGTTGCTGGCTCAATCCTGATCCCGTGTCCTGGGACTGGGATTGCTCCTGGCTTCTGCTCCTGGTGGAGCTTGTTCTCTCTCTGTCCTAGGTAACTGGTTCAGTCCCACTCCAGTTCTGGTGGAGATCGCAGACTCTGAGTCAGGTTGTTGGCTCAATCCTGGTCTGCCAGTATCCCAGGACTAGGTTGGGTCCCGGGACTGGATTTGCCCTCTACCTCAGTCTGAAATGGCGATCCTACCTCCAGGAATCTCAGAATGAGACTATTCCTAGGGATTCTTTTTTTTTTTTTTTTTTTTTTTTTTTTTTTTTTTTTTTTTGGTTTTTCGAGACAGGGTTTCTCTGTGGTTTTGGAGCCTGTCCTGGAACTAGCTCTTGTAGATCAGGCTGGTCTCGAACTCACACAGATCCGCCTGCCTCTGCCTCCCGAGTGCTGGGATTAAAGGCGTGCGCCACCACCGCCCGGCTTTCCTAGGGATTCTTAAGCAAGGATGGTCAAAATAAGACATCAACTATGTTTACTTAGGACCAGAATGTGTGTTATCTTGGGTTTAGCCGAAGTAGCCCTCCTCTCCCAACTCTAAGCCCAAGCAATGCACACATACGCACGCACGC